TAAGTCTGGGGGTTCCAACCGCCACCCCGGCTATTACGTCAGCCAGCTCAGGCAGGGCTGTTGATACATAGCAGGGAGCCAGGTATATAATCAACAAGCCCACTTGAACCCCTTGCCCCCATTTCACAAGGAGGGACTCCACACCGTCTATCTGAGGCACAGTGGTCTCCCTTGGGCAAAGGCTCTCCCTCATAATGACTTTTTTCAGTGACGTAACTTTGAATGGTCATTAAAGTAATGGTTGTAACTTGAGGATTACCTGCAATAGGTATGTCTAGTGAGAATATAGTTAGTCTGAGTTTGCAACTTTTGGGAGATAATGCACTTTATTTGACAAGCTTTTCATTTTAGGACTGAAGAGAGTTGTAACTGCCAAAGAAGCTAATTTTCAAAGGGTCTTATATTGTTATTCATTCTCATACCCAGTATATAATATGTAGAATTGTTCCACATCCATTTCAGTTTTTCTCTTGAAACATAGAACATATACAGAGAAGAGAACCAGCAACCACTCATTAAAATCCAGAAGGTACTTAGCTAAAAGAAGTGGGGGGAAAATAACAATGATGTTTGATTATGGTGCATGTCCATACAGATATACAAAAGTGGAGTTAGTGAAACCACCCAAATCAAGCTGAAACAAGTTTAGAGAAGAGAAGAGCTCACTATTAGACAAACCTAATGATAATCTCATTTTGGAATTTAAAAGTCAAAAGGTTCTTCTAGCAAAAGCCAAACATACCTCTTGTCTCAGGGGTACATAGTTTCACCACAATTAGCACAAACATTGAATGTTAAGGTTAGAAAGACTACATCACCATGGGAACAGCACATGCCTTTCCTCTGAGGAACATCTAATGGCCACTGAGGAAGATTTTCTACAGGTACAAATACAATCTAAGGATGGGAAGTTCTTAACATTTCTGCCTGATAAAAACTTAGCAGAGCCACAAAAAGCAATTAAAATATGACCCAGGGTCTAAATTTACACGGAGCAAAACCAAGCAAAACATTGAACGAGCGTTGTATTTTTAATACAGCATTTTAAGGATTGATATTTCTTGGTATATCGCTAGGAAATTGAAATTTGTGTTTTGCTGACATGGAAAGTAAAGTCAGCTCTTCTGTTTTATGGTCAAAGATGAAAGAGTTATTGGATTAGCTATATCAAGAACTGCTGGGTTATATTTCAGTGATTCGTTCCTTCTACTGCAGCTCCCTATGTCTTCGGAAAACCCGCTTTCAAGGGTCAAGGGACCTCTAGAATAACGGGAAGAAATAGCATCAGGGATCTCCTGAGGAAAGGAGGATGCCTGAAGATCAATTATCTTCTTCTACCAATACAATTTAAATTGAATTCTACTCCAGGAATACTTCCAGTAGAGAAAAAGAATCTGGATTCAACTGTTGTCTTGAATAAATGTGCTTTGTTTATACAAAGAATATCAAAATGCTTTGCCCACCCTGTTACCTATCTTACGATTTTGAGTCTTCCACCCATAGTGAAATCTTGTCCAAAAAGAAATGACTAGTTGACTGTGTCTCTATAGAAAACATTGAATTCAAAACTATTTACCCCAAGTTGCAGTAATGTTAAGGTTTTATTCTGCTTTACCAGTTAGGGATCATGCTACTAGCTGACTGCTGAAATATTTATTCCATGGTTAAACCACTTCAGTAACCTTTGATTCGCCCACAAAACTAAAAGCTCAGTTAACATTGGGGAAGCATCAAATACTTGCTGTCTTACTTTATATTAAAAGTCATAAACCTACCTTGGGAATAAACCTTTTAAGCATGAAAACGAGAAAGACTAGAGGTATGAAAATGCCAAATGCTATCCCAGCAGAATAATAGAAGATATTACTTCTGTTTGGGAGAAACACATGAATGCTAGTAAATCTTTTGCGAAGGAAAACAGGTTCAAGAAAGTAGAAAAGCAAAGATATATAGCTTTATTTAAATTCTACAGATCACTTCACTTACTTACACAGCTCTGCATCTTGCAATTAACATCGCATGAGAATTCCTTGCTTCACATTGCCTGGATTCACAAGCTGCGTTAAGCTATAATGTGGTTGGTTTCAGTTTTAGATTATCTTACTGTGCAAAGTCCTTCCGGTTTGTATATCATGATTCAGAGCTTAATATGAGGGGTGAATTCAATCATGGTTTGCTAAATACATTATGGCTAAGCCAACTAAATACATCATGGCTAAGCTAGTTACTCAGTGGTAGGATGGGCAACCAATAAACTTTAAATAAATGAATGAATAAATAAATAAATAAATGCCAACTTCCATCCAACTCTTTTATAAAGCTTTTCTACAGGTGACCTCATTTATTGTATAGAGCAGTGGTTCTCAACCTTTTTAATGCCGCGACCCCAACCGGTTGTAAGTCGAGGACTAAACCGGTCGTAAGTCAAGGACTAAACTGGTTGTAAGTCAAGGACTACCCAACCGGTCGTAAGTGGAGGACTTTCCCTGCCCGGGAGCGCCGCGCATGCGTGGTTCCGCCCCCTGCGCTGGTCGAGGCGTAGTTGGCAAGCGGCAGAGACAGAGCAGGCCAACCACCAGCTGGCCCAGCCCAAGGGAGGTAAGGCACCCGCCGGAAAAGGGGGAAAAAAAGTCGGACAAAAAAAATGGCGGACAGCCTTGCTTGGCGACCCCCATGAAATGGTCGATCGACCCCAAATGGGGTCCCGACCCACAGGTTGAGAACCACTGGTATAGATGTTGTATATGCAACTCCTTTCTATAGAGGGTGTACTGGAGGCCATGCAATTTTTTTTTCCTGCGGCTAGATTTCTGGGCAGATCCAGAGAATATCCACTCCATCAGCCCTTGTTTGCGACAAAGCATTGCAATTTTGTAATGCAATCCTATGTATGCTCACTCAGCCCCAGTAAAGTCACTTGATTTATTCCATGACATGTGCCTTATTTATTCCACCAATTTACTGATCACTGATTTAGACAATATTGTACGTCTAAATAAACACACTCTTTAAAAATTGGAAGGAAAGAACTGCAGCCCTACCCATGGTAACTTGTCTCAGGTCTTGCTGAAATCAGTGCAATTTCTTAGGTTTGCAGTCTTGCAGCACATTTTTATTTTCAAAATTAGCAAGTTCATGTAATTGACAGATTCCAGTAAAGCTAACACGTACCTGCTCAGGTTATAGGCAAAATGAAAAAGAAGTCCACCGGCAACAAATAACAGAACGAGTTTGCTATCCAACACTGGAACAAAAGAAAAGATGGGAAATCCAAACCTGTTTCACTTATGTACTGAAAATGCACACTTCTAACAATACAAAAGTATTTTACACATGGGTTTCTCTTAATATTACTCACTCTTTTGTTGTACTCTCACAGTGTAGAGTATTTTATTTGTTGGTTCGATCCTGAAACATGTTTTCCCAACATACTGGTCCACTGTTATGAGCGTTTGATTAGACATACTAGGCTGCCAAATATTGCTAATCAGGCACTTCAAGAAATCGAGCAAATGTTCGGAATTTTGGCAGTCACGCTCATCTGGGATATACACCACTTGAAATAATCCAGTGCTGTTTGTGAACACCTAAACAATATAATAATTCTTAATTATATATTCAAAACCTAAAAGGAATTATGAAATAAGGAACAATGGGATTTCTTACTACCATTAAAGTTTGTCTATGTTTACATACTTTCAGTCAGAAATCCTGAGACACCCTAGCACAGCCATTTGTGCAAGTAGGTGAACAAGTAGAAATACACAATTGAGTCTAAAATTTCCACTGCTAAGCAAAGCAGTTGTTAAGTGAGTTGCGCCTCATTTTATGACCTTTGTTCCGCAGTTGTTAAGCAAATCACTGCCCTTGTTAAGTGAATAATGCAGTGACTAAGCGAATCTGGCTTCCCCCACTGACTTTGCTTGTTGGAAGCCAGCTGGGAAGGTTACAAATGGTGATCACATGATCCCGGGACACAGCAACCGTCATACATGCCAATTGTCAAGCACACTAATTCTGACCATGTAATCATGGAGATACTGCAACAGTCGTGTGAAAACCGGTCATAAGTCACTTTTTTCAGTTACTATCAAATGATCGCTCAACGAATGGTTGTAAGATGAGTACTATCTGTAAATAACTGATTGCATTTGAACTTGGATCTGTTGCTCCAAACCCAAGCACAGCTTGCAAGCCATTAATAATTCCTGGCTTGACATCTTGCATTGATTGTAAGCTACAAACTAAAAACTCAGGTTCCACAAATGATTTATTCTGGTTTATTTACTCAATCATATAAGTGGAGGAAAAAGCAAGAGGCAAATATTGATGTTTGTCTAAAAAATTCCAAGATTGCTCTCCCCAAAATAACTTTACACATAGTACTGGGGCTCTACACGTAGATGCTATATAGACCACATGATTTATTTAGAGCAGGGGTGTTAAACTGCCGGCCTGTGGGCCGGATGATTCACGTGGAAGCCGCACCCACCCCAGATCTGGTAAGGGGGAAAAAGTCATGATACATCACGACACATCACATGACGCGGGGAGTTTGACACCCCTGATTTAGAACAAGGGTGAATGTAGCTCTCTAGATGTTGGTGAACTGCAACATGTAAAATTCTAAGTAGCATCAATATTACCAAGAGGTAATGGAATTGAAAGATCTGGAAGGCTGTACATTACTCATTCTTGATTTAGGAGAAATAGTTTCCATTTTCATTGACAACAGAAAGTAGGCAACCTGATGGCAAAGATTCATGGAATTATAGTCCCAAAACCTGAGTGGCCCCAGACTGCTTACTCCTAAGGACTAGCAGAGGTGAACATAAAACAAAAATCCAAAAGATTTAATACGGAAAGCCCTCTAATGATTTCCCAATGGGCACAAATAGGCTTTAGACTGAATTATCAGTCATTCTATTATTTTGACAGAACTGTGGAAACTTGTCCTCTAGGTGGCTCAATTAGGGATCCTTAAGAGAGAAGATCACCACAGATGGGGACTGCAGCCAAGAAATTAAAAGACGCTTGCTCCTGGGGAGGAAAGCTATGGCAAATCTAGACAGCATACTAAAAAGCAGAGACATCACCTTGCCAATAAAAATACGTATAGTCAAGGCCACGGTTTTCCCAGTTGCAATGTATGGCTGTGAAAGTTGGACCATAAGAAAGGCTGAGCGCAAAAGAATTGAGGCCTTTGAACTATGGTGCTGGAGAAGACTCCTGCAAGTCCCCTGGACTGCAAGGCGATCAAACCGGTCAGCCCTAGAGGAGATCAACCCTGACTGCTCTTTAGAAGGCCAGATCCTGAAGTTGAAACTCAAGTACTTTGGCCACCTAATGAGAAGGAAGGACTCACTGGAGAAGAGCCTAATGCTGGGAAAGATTGAGGGCAATAGAAGAAGGGGACGACAGAGAATGAGGTAGGGCTGGATGGAATCACTGAAGCAGTAGGCGTGAGCCTAAATGGACTCCAGAAGATGGTAGAGGACAGGAAGGCCTAGAGGAACGTTGTCCATGGGGTCGCGATGGGTCGGACACGACTTCGCAACTAACAACAACAAAGAGAGAATTGTTTGGAGAACACCTGGCAACCTAATTAAATACAAAGTAAATAGAGGGTTTTATTATAGATACAATGCACTCCTATGCAAATTTACTCTAACGCAAATCTCTGTGTTCAAATGAGATTTTAGAGGAGCTTAAATGATGCCTAAATTTCCACTGGAAGCTTATAGATTCTATAAGCTTTAACTCTGTTTCTCCCAAAATCATGGATTAGAGATGTTAGAAACATTCTTTATTTTATTTTATTTATTTATCTATATTATTTATTAAATTTTTATGCCACCCATCTCCCCTATAAGGTGACTCTGGCAGCTTACAAATTATTTTGTTGCTGAGATACCAAGATAATTATTTCAGTATACACAAAGTCTATTCTGTGGGTATTTTATGGGATTTGGGCAGCACAAAGACCTTATTTATTTGTTTGCAAAGGAGGCCACACCAAAGAGGAGTCTAAGAAATTCCACAAAAGCTTTGACAGCCAATAGAAATGAAGACATGATATCTGGAGAGATGTCTTGTTTCTCCAGAGTTTTCCTATACAACATTCCATTTGACATTTTTTTAATATTGCCAAATCTTCAATAACATTCTTCATTGTATTTTTTTTCCTGCCAAGAAAAAACCCTAGCCACTTAATTTATGAATTCATCAACAGCATGATTTTACCTGAATACTTGACCAAGTATTTTGTAAGTACATTGTTCCATTTGGAATGTAGCAGAAACAAGCTGATTCCGTATTATGCATTATCTTCATTATCTTCAACTGTTTACAGCTAGTACTATCTATACAAAAGGAAAAGGGTCAATCACAGCATCGTGAAATACTGTATATGCAAGTCATTTAGACATTTTTTTCCAAGAATTATAATTGTCACAAACCAAATCAAGCTGCCACATTGAAGTATGCCCGCCTTCTATGATTTGCTGGATTTGGTTTATCAGTCCTGCAATCCATCACTGCGGTCCTAAATTCTTCCTATGAAATGCACATCCACATATATTTGGGGCCACTGTTGTCCCATCTGCAACATAACTTGGCTGCATAACTTTCTTGTTATGCTACTCTAAGCTAGTGTTTCTCAATCTTGGCAGCGTTAGAAGTCTGGACTTCAACTCTCCCAATTCCCCAGCCAGCATGATATGTGTGCACTTAAGCCAGCTTAAGTTGAAGAGTTGAAGTCCACACATCTTAAAAATTGCCAGGGTTGAGAAACACTGTTCTACGCAATCCGAACCAGAGATTTCATATATTAATTTGCAAAGTTGTGAACAAGTACAGGTAGTCCTTAACTTACAACCACAATTGAACCCAACATTTCTGTTGCTTAAGCAAGACAGCTGTTAAGTGAATTTTGCCCCATTTTACGACCTTTCTTGCCACAATTGTTAAGCGAATCACTGCCGTTGTTAAGTTAGGAACACGGTTGTTAAGTGAATCTGGCTCCCCCACTGACTTTGCTTGAGAGTGGTGGCAAAAGATGATCGCATGACCCCTCGGGACACGGCAACCGTCATAAATACAAACCAGCTGCCAAGGATCTGAATTTTGATCAGACTGCCATAGGGATGCTGCAATGGTGGCAAGTGTTGAAAAACGGCCATAAGTCACTTTTTTTCAGTGCCACTAAATGTACAGCCACTAAATGTACCTTTGTGAGTCGAGGACTACCTGTACGTGCAGTCCTCCTAGCTAGCTACAGGGGTAGGCAACCTTGGCTGTTATGACTGGGGGACTTCAACTCCCAGAATTCCTGAGCCAGCATAGCTGTCTCAGGAATTCTGGGAGTTGAAGTCCACGAGTCATAAAAGAGCCAAGGTTGCCTACCCCTGTCCTAGCACATCTTTTGCCTTCCAAACAGCCAAGTTGACAAGCCCAGCATCTTAACCACTAGGCCGCTGTGTCTCTTTTATAGAGTATACAGCTTAGGTACAATTTCAATATCTTTAAAAAGTTGGCCCGCCAACCTCTGTTAGAGAGCTGGTGTTGTATAATGGTTAAAACGTTGGACCTGGACTGAAAACACTCAGATTCAAGTTCCCCACTGACTACAAAATTTGGTTTTACACCACCCCTTTTCTCCCAGGCAACCTCCCTAACAGGGTTGATTGTATGGTAGAATTTGGGGAGATTCCGCCCCCTCCCCAATACCATGCAAGCTTCCTTGAGCTGCCTATAAAAAGAGAGTACATAAATGCAATTCAGTGCAATGCTACGCCGCTAGGCGCTGCCATCTGAAGCGCCACAGAACCGAAAGGCGAGCGGGTGGGTGGGTGGGTAAGCTGACGCCGTCCAAAGGTTTCGGGGAAAGAGTGGCAAGGGTCTTATTAGGGGCAGAAATCCGAATGAACAGACGACCGGCCGCTTGCCTTTGCAGCAGGGATCCCCAACCCCCCCCTCCCCGGTCCGTGGACCGGCACCGGTCCGTGTCATGCCAGCAACAGGGCAATGGGATGAAGGCAGGTTGGGGGCCACTGCTTTGCCGTTGTTTCTAATGGCAACCGCTGGCTAGCAAGCTGATTTCAGATGGCAGCTTCCAGCCAAGTTACCTGCTAATGAAGGCGGGGCCTCGTCAGCCCTCTCGGCCTGGATTAGCCCCGTGGCGAGCAGCTGTCCCAGGAGCAATGCAAGAGGCTGTCTCCGGACTTGCAAAAACAGCCGGCAGCCCGAAGAACCGCCGCACTGAGACATTTTGTTTCCGCCCGCAACTGTTTGAACAAAGCTCGTGCCTCCGAGGAGGAAGGCGCGGGAATCGAGCTTCGATACACGCTTACGAAGAAGCCTGGGCGGCCAAAACCGGCAAACGGGATCGACTAGTTGAGGCTGGAGGAGGAGGAAGAGAAAATGCCAAATGAGTCTGCCTTCAGTTCTGAATTTAAAAAAATCATAAGCTTAAGTATTTAAAGAAGTCTTTGGAATGAAAAAAAAAACCCACCCCTGAACAGAGGTAAAATCCTATGAGATAGCTACATGAATAAAGATCAAGATGGCTAGGAGCAAAAGGAAGGAGTACAAAGTTGATTTTTTGGACCAAGGTTAAGCTAAGACATGTGTTTTTTTTTAAATTCTAGGAACCATTTATGGACTTCTTGCTGGCATCCAGACTGAAATGTTTATGGATTTGCATATGACTAAGGGAAGAAGAGATACTAAGTAAGGAAGAAAGACTTTACAAAGTGTGTTTGTATTTTTTGTGACAAAGATTGGAAGTCACTTCTTTTTATCTTTTTCTTACTTTTTTCTTGCACTTTC